GCAGACATGGTGACAGGGAGTTAAGTAGGTCACTTTGTATTTTATGATGAGTAAGTATGAATATTCCAAATTACTCCACTGAATTTCCCATTTATCCCGTGTTATATTACAATGTACAACATTAAAAGTCTTGTTACAGAGACACTAGAATTGTGACTGCGGAGTTTCATTCATAGTGCTGAAAGGGATGGCCTAGTGGACAAAACAAGCATTTTTCACTGCTGTGATTCTAGCCAGGGGACAGCAGGTAAGTGCCCTGACTTGGCAGCTCATCTCCTGCATGAGCTTAGTTCCAGAGACTTAACTCAGGTGAGCACCAGTCCAGGGGTTCATGTATGCAAAACATCTGCCTATCCTGCCTGGTAATGAAGATTCCAAGAATGTTTGTGAACAAAGAATACTGCCTCCCTCCCCCATTTCCTTGAAGGATGAGTAGAAGACCCAAGGATCTCTGGTGCAACCTTCGAATTGGTGTCCTATTCCAGCGAGCTGTCCCTTCTTCTTCACCGGCCTTCTAGAAAGCTAATGTGGCCTTCCCCTCAACACCTCTTCAGTTCATGTCTGTGACTGTCCCCTCTCCTCTCTCTTCTCCCTTCTCCTAATCTCTCAGTTTTAACATCAAACTCAAATCAGTCCACTCATCCACCTCACTCATGAACTATTCTTTTGTAAATAAACATTTCATTTTTAAGATTTAATTAACTAAATTATAATGACAAACTAGGAATGATTAGCTGCTCTCCTAAATAAAACTATACTATGTAAATCACCAGTAACCAGCATAATAATTCCATGTTTTTGTTTTTTTTGAGGGGGTGTTGATACTGGGGATTGAACTTGGGACCTGGTGCTTGCAAGGCAGGCAGTGGCACCACTGAGCTAAATCCCCAACCCAGTGATTCAGCCTTGTAAAAAGTACTTTAAAATGTATCAGCTAGGTCTGTATGGATTTGAGGCAGTGCTTATTCCATTTATAATCTTAAAAATCAATGCAGCAACAGTAATTAGTCAGCCACTATGTGCCAAGTATTATTCCAAGCACAGTGGTACCTCAATTCACTAATGCTTTTGCTTGCAAATAATTTGGTTTGCAAACAGAAACATTTGGTAAAATTTTGTTTTGATTGAAAATTCTCAGACAATGAACTTGACTGCAGCCAGCTTTCCCACACAAACACAAACATGGACATCTTTTCCAAATCATAGAACAAATTAAGTTCATGAACCAATAACTTAGTTTATCGACCAAGCTTAAAAAAAAAAAAATGAAGACTATCCCTGTCGTAGTCTAGTGCAGGTGACAGACAACTATAAACAACTATTACATGGCATACCTATTTCATTAAAGTATCCTAGAACCCAATTCATTCTCTCTGAATTCCAATCCGTGGCTTTGAGTAGAGACTTGAAGCCTTTTATTTCATGCATGGGCATGGTCTGATGTTCAGATCTGAGCCTCTAATTCAGCCTAAATCACTATTTCGGGGAGATGTTTAAAAAATAAGAGATGTGCAGTGTGTATGTATATATATACATATATATATATTAATACATGAGAAGCTGGAGGGAAGGTATTACTATCAGCATATACTAATTCATGTATGCCTCAGGATCTTCACACAATGATTTCTCCTTTTCCTTTTTACCTCTGCAAGCCCATTTCAAGATTGCATCAGCACAGTCTCTACCACCATCTCAGAAAGCTCATCAATCTTTCTGACACCTCACGCACTCCTCCTCCTTCCACTCTTCCTGACTCCTGGTCTGTGCTGCTTTCATAGATGCTGACGCCGGGTGATGGCAGGGCCCAGCCCGCCCTGCTGCAGCTGCCTCTGCCATTAGATCACTATCGCTGTCCCTACGACCCACGGCTAATTGCAGTTGTTCGTTTCCCACGCAGTGCTCCGTGTGGTTACCTCAGTAAGACTTCGTTCCTATTGTCTGCTTATTTGGACTCTTTTTTTCACTGACTCATGTCTGCTCTGATTAATGAAGTGGAAATGCAGCAGTATTTAGTCACTTCTCATAAAGCCTGTCTTCCTGTTCACCAAATACTTCTTTCTCCAGACTGAGGACAGGGCAGTCTCCTGATGTCCGGCACACCTCTGCATCTAGACAGAGTCACTGCTGAAGGAACTCAGGCAGGGGACAGAGCTGTTCCTACCATCTTTGTTCAAAATGCCACTGGCCAGGACTAGAATGGGTTGTGGCCAACATCCCTGTAACTAAAATCACTGCTCTCTGACTGTAGCCCTAAGGCAGTCAGAGGACCCTAGCAGGACAACTGTGGCACTGGGCCAGACTCCACATTACACCTTCTGGCGGTGAAGTGTGGGTGACTGTGATGCTTCCTTTTCCTTTCCTCCATTTATTCTCTTTTCCCTCTAACCTTTTTAAACACTGTATGCTGATTTAGACCTTTTACAAAGAAAGCTATGGGAGAAACTCCAGGATGGGGACAATGTTGGATTTGTGACTTGTGATAGCAGGCCATCTTTGGCCACATGAGAACATCAGTGGATCATCCAAGGGCATGCAATCACCTGTTTGTCATTTGTTGTGATGAAAGCAAAAGAAAGCATGGGCATAAATATGTGCTGAACATTTGCCCCATGAGAAGAAAATGCTCAGCCCATGTTAGAATGGATAAATGGGAACTAAGGGAACCTTGGTCATATTCCTTAGGAGTTGCTGACAGTGTCAAAAAACACTTAAAATATAACGAAAACTTCATTCTGTCAAGAGAAAGGGAAAATGTTTCTCCACTTGCCCATTCTAAGCCTTGTGTGTATATGAAAGTGTTTCCGAGATGGAGTTAACATGATACTCATCTCCTAGGACATGCCAAGCCCTGCGGTGGTATTTTATCTATTGCTAACTGGTGGTCTGAAAGACACTATTGCAATGGTGGCAACCCTACAGCACGCATGCCACAGAGAACTGTTTGTTATCACTGAAAGCTCTGGAAAGGTTCACCATCACTGCTATATTACCTCTCTAATCACATCTAACTTTTGCCCATTCCCTTCAAATATCTGCATTTGCTGTCAACCAAATATATGTTAGCTATAATTAGGTGTACCTACTTCCTGATGACTTCTGCAAAGGAAACATTTCTATTTTGACTCTGTGAGGTGAAAATTACTTGTGAATCACAGTTAACAGTCTGGGTTCCAGAAAACGGCTAATATAAAAACAAGAAATTGAGTTAATTTGGTTGAAACTAATGTGAACTATCAGTATTTTCCTCATCAAACTTTATTTCTTCTGGAACTTACCTTCTCTTTGGTGTCTCCTTGAGCTAACTTGGCTACCCTCCCAACACTGCATCCCTCCTAACTGACTAAACTTACAGATCTTCACTCCAGAACACACAACGCACGCTCCTCTTCAGGAGTTTTGTGTGTGCCCTTCCCTCTGCTCAGAAGGCTCTCCGCCCAGATATTGCCTGGATTTGTGCCGTCCTTTCATGCCATACCATTCATTCCTACGTTATTTTATTCCTCTCTTTCATGCTACACCAGCAGTGTCCCTACAGGACAAAGAATCCACTTCAGACTATCATAGGAAGAGAAATTCCTGAAGAAACTGTCCTGGGGGTACATTCAGAGTTAAGAGAAACACGGGGGCTATTGAGGGGCTTGGAGTCTGCAAAGAGGAGGCACTTGTGCCATCCCTGGGCCTAAGGGGCAGGTGGAGAAGGCAGTGTCCCTGCAGCTCAGTAACAACCAGAGCTGCAGGAGGCCACTAGCAGAGCCACAGACACAGGAGGAAGTGGGCAGTGAGGAGAAGGAGGAGGAGAGAAGAAACAGTCTGTCCTGTCCTTTCTCTGTTCCTCCTCTGGATCTCTAACCCTGCCAGTAGCTTCATCACACTCTTATCTCTACTTGGCATCACTCTGTGCTGTTGCTTTATTTTCTGCCTCTTTCTCTAAAATATAGGTTCCTCGGGAGTTTGAATTCTGTCATTCATATTGACTACCAAATCCCTATACAAAACAGCTCCTGCCTCACAGCAAGAGTTCAGTGTTTCCCAAATGAAGTAACAGTCCCGTTATAGAATAATAGAATCTCAGAACTGGAAAAAAAAAAACATTAGAATTCTTCCAGCCCAAACCTGTGCTCAATAAACAGACATTTTCTACAATGAACTTGGATGTCGATGTGAAGAAGGGAGATAATCTTTGCCCCAAGAATACATAACAATCACAGCTGCTCACATATGTGGTATTTGATCTACTGAAATATCAATAATCTTCAAAAGGGTACAAAATATTTTTATCATTAAAATAGGGGAAGAGTTAATAAACAATTATAATCATATCTATCTTTCTAATCGTGGAAAGAGGGCACTGACTTTCAGGAACCGGTAACTTAACAGCTCTTATTAGAATAAAACAGTGGGTTTGGCTTTTTCCTCATGTTAGAAAAAACTCTTTTGTATCTTCTTTAAATCAAGCTTTCCTCCTTGTAGACCAAGAATGCTCAGTCCATCATTTCCAAGTGCACATGCTCTCCTGAGGAAATACCCTGCCAAGTCCTGGGCTTTGGACATGGTCCAGCCCAGCAATTTTGCCCTCCAAGTGTGGAATTCATACCTGGGTCTTCAGCCTGGGTATGGCCAAAAGCTGTCTGTCTGTCTCTTCCTCCCTCTGGACATTCTATTTTCAAGAAGACCAATTAGAAGTTTTATTTCTTTTTCCCTACAGCCTTGATATCTTCAGTTCCTTATCTAGTTTTTGGTCTCAAATAACAGATCCCTATGCCTAATCTGTCACCCTAAACTACCTGCGTTTTCCACAATGAAGGGAGAAATATTGACAGAGACACAATGGACCAGTATGATGACTGCAAAGAGATAGGATGAAATTGATGAAGGTTAAGTGATACATATTCCTATGTACATATCTCCCAAGAAGAGATTCTCTCAAATATGTCAGCAGGCAGTGCAAGACCCACTCTGCTGATGATGTCCCCCACAAAACATCACAGAGGGCTCACCTGCAGCGACCACAATAACATCTGCCAGCCGAGTCTGGGTCTTCAGCTGCTCCCGGGGGGTGTACCTGTGTGCTATGGTCACAGTTGCATCACCTGCAATGCAGAAGGGCTTTCATTAATGATCACTGCCTTTCCCATGCTGTATGAAAGCTGTGAATCATGAGACATCTCTGCTACTGCCCCAAAGCAGAGACATTGCCTTGACATGATTAAGTCACTCTGAGACTAAAAGCTAGATAAGGAACTGAAGATGAATCAGAATACTGTACCTTTCTACTGGATGGGTGAACATCGACAAGGCCAAGTGAGATGAGTGCTGGTTGTCAGAGGAGGGCTATCAACCCTAGAAACCCAGGATGTGAGAATTCTGTCCTGACCAGGTAATACACTGGTATGGGATACTCACTGGGTATAAAGACAGGAAGCAACGAGGTAAACCATACTAATAATGGGACGATATATCGGGGCACCTAGGAGAGAGATTAATTCCACCAGGGAGAAGTGTCAAGGAAGAGTTTCTCAAGAAGACAAACTATGTTTGAAGTCTTAAAGCATGAACATGAGTATTCCAAGGAAGGAAAGAGCAATGCAAGCTAAAAGAAAGCAGGGGGAAAAAAGTCAACATTGAAATGCTGTGTTTAGGAAATAGCAAAGAAGCACAGAATATAACAGGACAACTTTAATGGAGCTGTGGATAAAAGGACAAGCATGCAGCCTGAGGCAGTTGCAGTGTTGAAAGTGCCAGCCACGGCAGGGGAGGGCGGAAGGGACTTCTCTAGGAGGATGGCGGCATGGGTCAGTCTCTGTCTTCACCTCCTGGAAGATGTACAAATGCAATCCAGTACAAATACAAAACAATTCTTAAAGAAAACTTACAGGCTTAAACTATTATACCATTAAGCCTGAAATAAGGAAATAATCGTTTAACTTAAAAAGTTACATAAAGAAAAATTAAAGGGAAAAAGGTTAATAAATGAATTAAAATGTCTGATGAATAAACCTAAAAATATATTATTAAAACATTAAGAGAATGCAGTAAATTTTCGAAGTAAAAACTGAGTACATAGAAGAGATTTCGTATATAATGTTAGAAGATATATTTGAAGAAAGGGTTCTGCTACAATAGCAGTACAAAAGATGAAAAAATACTTAGACATAAGCTTAAGAAGAAATGTAGAAAATCTATGTGGAACAAGAAAATCTCTAGGTCAACACCAAAAGATAGAAGCGTGACTGAGTGATAAGCCATGCTCTTGGGCAGAAGGATTCAACATGACAATAAGGCCAGTTCTTCCTATGTTTGTTACAAATATAATGCAATTCTAATAAAATATTTTTGCTTTTTCAGAGAAAGCGTGTAATTTGACACTAAAGTTAAAATGAAAAAAAAAAATGAAAGGATAACCAGGAAAACAAAAGAAGAACAATAAGGAGTAATAGTAGTACTTCCCTTTCTGTGAATGAAACCAACATCAACCCAATTACTTGAGTAAAAGCCAGAGTGTCCCTTGATCTTCTTTCCTCCACTCGCTGTAAAACCAGCAAACGTACAGTACACGTTTGCATTACATCCCCAAGCGCCAACATTATGAAGCACCTTCCCACTTCTTAGTTCTTTTCTGCTCAGAGGACCACCTTGCTCCCCTGCAACCATGTAAATGTTCTCTAGTTCCAAATGAGAACCTCAATATGTACACACACATGCGCAGGTACACACACACACACACACACATACCAAACCTTTCATCAGTGCTATTTACAGAAAAGAATGGAAACATACAGCATAATCCAGTGATTATGTACATACACATAATTAACAATCTATAAAGTTTCAGGCAGAAGAAAAATGAATTCCAATCTGCACAGCAAGATCTTTTAAGTATCATTAGGTTATCTTGAGATTTCAACATGAGCTTGGCAGGCAATGCCCAGGAAATTATCAAAGCTGAGAGTCCTATTTCGACTCACTTGATCAGTTTAAGATTACAGTGATAACCAGGCCACAGCGAGGCTTTCAGTCTGCTATTTAGAGATCCAATGATGCTTACAAGAGAAACAAAGCATATGTGCTCCAGGGATGCCTCAGACTCTTTTGTCTCTGACCGGGCTGGTGATTCCTTGGTACCTGCTGCTTTCCTGGTCATTAGTGTCATATTTAACCTTCTTACTTGGTACCGTGAAAGGTCTTGCTAACTTTCTCTTTGGCTTGCTCCTCTAGCTCTTTCTGCCTCCTCAGAGGGCAGCCCCACAAGCTGCAGCCGCTGCTGCAGTGAAGGTTGCTCATCCCTGGCCCCCGACTGGTGCTTTCCCATGCTCAGTTTGTCCCCACAGAACGCATCTGATAGTTTACACTTTCAAACAGCACAGAGAGTCAGATTTTTAAGAAATTATAAACAGAATTTGAAGCGACTTTTGATCCCCTGTGCTTTACTTTACACTTGTAAGACATAGAAGAGTAAAAGACTCAGAGATTATCTCCTAGAATTTTTATAAGAATTCTATGATTAACTAGTGGGAAAGATGTGTTTCTAACTGAACAAAATTCACAGACAAGCAAGATTTGTCCACTGGAGGCACCTGAGCAGTTTTCCAGGCTATCAGTGCCTCTGGGATTTATGTAAAGTAAGACAGTAAAGAAAGTGGTAGTGCAGAATCAACACAGGATGCAAATCTGTGGAATACCTGCTGCTAAACTGAATGTGATAACGTCCCCTAAAGGCCCAAGTGGTAAAGCTCACTCCCCAGGGAGGCATTATTGAGAGGAGACAAAGCCTTCCAGTGGTGGGGCCTAGGGGAGTTTTCAGGTGTTAGGGGACCTGCCCTCTAGGGGACCGTGGGCTTCTAGTCTCCTCTTTAGTTTCCTGAACGTACAGTGAGAGTAGTTCACCCATTCCACCACAGTGGAGCCAGCTGACTGTGGACGGAACCCCTAAATGGTGGGCCAAGATGAACCTTTCTCTCTGAGCTGATCACCTCAGGTGTTTACACTTTTACAGTAACAGAAAGTTGACTGTCAAACCATCTTAGTAAGCAGCACCCAGGATTCCTCATCTCTTCGGTATATCCGAGGTATCTCTTTCACAACCATCTGACTCATTAGTAAGCAGGGTAAAATGTGGCTGTGCTGTCACCACCTAGTCAGCAGATCCTGGACCAGGCCCTTGCCACCTCTCAAGTGGAACATGGCACTGTTAAGAGTTGATTTCCCTGCAGCCACTGTGCCCTTCTTGCATACGAAGTCCACTCTCCCATGGCAGGGCTTCCCAGAACACCCACAACACAATATGCTAAGCATCTATGATGTGCCTTCCTTCACCACAGCAGATAATGCACCCAAGCCAGCACCATGACTCCTGCCTCCTCTAGCCTGGGACTCTGTGGGGAACTACAACCCCTACTTCCATGCCTTTCTCTGTATGAGAACAGAGAACCATGCATCCTATTGCTAACCCTAATTCTGGGGTTATTTCTTGATTACTGAATAAAGGTAGACAGTGCTGTAGAAATATTTTTAAAAACTCATTATTTAGTTAATTTTAAGGAAAAAAGTCATTAAAAAGTGAAACAGGTGATGCTGTTTGTTCTAGCTTTGTTTTGCTGTTTTTGTTGTTGGTTTGTGGAATGGGGGAATCAAACCCAGAGGTACTTTACCACTGAGCTACATCCCTAGCCCTTTGTTTTTCATTTTTCTTTGGGGACAGGATCTCACTAAGTTTTCCAGGCTTGCCTTGAACTTTAGTCTTCCTACCATATCCTCCAGAGTAGATGGGATTACAGGTGTGTGCCATAGCCCCTGGACAGGCTGTGAGAACTTGGTCAAATTAGGAATAAAAGGTTGTATGCACTAAGTTTGGAATGTTAATTTGCCATAAAAGTGGGGTGGTATTGGCTGAATAGTAGTCACAAGGGTCTAGAGTCCACAGGGATACAGTTGGCACTTAGAGCTGCGGGGATGCAGTAAGTCACTCAGGGAATGGCTACGGAGAAAGAAATCCCAATGTTCTGAGATGTCATTCTCAGTCCTGACTGTATTAGATTCTTCTATGGTGCTTTCTTAAAAAAAAAAAAAAAGTAGTGATATACAAGTCCCAGTCCTGAAGATCTAACTTTCTTCTTTTCTGGAGGCAGGCAGCTATTTTTTTTAAAAGCCTCCTGACAATTCTACTGGGCACCTGGAGCTAGGAACCACCAGTCCATAAGTTACAAAGAAGAGAATGACACAAAACAGAATCAGAAAAGTCCAATGATGCATGCCAGTGGTAGTTCTAATCTGTGCTTAAATAACAGGAGAAACAGCCCATAAAATGTGGCCATTTGTTAGGTTGAAAAGTACATTATGAACATCAGTCAATGTGTCATATGGTTTTCTATTTAATGAGAAGTATAAGAACCTTCAGGAGAAATTACTTTTCCATCTCAATAACAGAAAATGTTTTATTTTTCCTGAGCATGTAACCACATGCTTTTAATCTTAAAGGCACGTATTTGAGCAACTATTCATTTATTCTGCTACCAATAAGCTCTCAGGATGAAATTAGTTACCCAATCATAGCAAGTGTATTTTAAAGTCAATTAAATAAATTTACTAAACATACTGTTTTTAGCTACCATATATAAAAAGATTGTGAGCAACAATGGGAAGTGAGCCAGGAAGAGTTAATGATCTGTTTATTTTAGAAGTCTTCTCTCTGGCTCTATTTTATCTATTTATTTTTTTTATTTTCTGTCTCTATTTTAGTTCCATCCCTTCCTTCACCCCCATTTTTTTCACAATTGCTCATTTGCATAGTGGTTTATATATTGCCATGTGCCTGTCAAGTTTTTAGTCTCAGAAGGCAGAGAGTAAACACAACCCATTAAATAGTGACAGAAGTAAACACAACAAAAGTATAACATTCATACATAATTGTAATTAGAAGTCATTCATCCTGTTTCCAAAATAGAGCTTTTCATACAAAGCCCACTTCTCCGGGAGGAACATACACAGTGACAATCAGGGCATCCTGCCTCCTTCCCTGGCTAATGGCTCTTTCCTACCTCACTGTGTCCCAGGAGAGCAGGGTCATGTCTGCTTTATTCACTGCTGAATTCCC